AAAGCGTAGGTTAGATGTGGCACACAGTGAGGATCGAACTCACTAACTTGTCATTGTTGATCTAGAGTGACAAGCTTGCTAACCATTACACCACGTCGAAGTGACTAAATGATATTCTAAGTGTAGTTTAGATGTGGCAATCAGTGAGGGTCGAACTCGCTATTCAGTCATAATTTATCTTGCGATGCAAGTGTGCTCACCATTACACCACGTTGAATTACTTAAATGATATCCAAAGCGTAGCTTAGATGTGGCACTAGACCGAAAGTAAGGGGCACACAGTGAGGATCGAACTCACTATTCAGTCATAAGTGATCTAGAGAGACAAAAACGCTAACCATTACACCATGTCGAAGAGTCACAAATGATTTGCTAAGCGTACCTTAGATGTGGCACAAGGCCGAAAGTATGGAGCACTCAGTGAGTATCGAACTCGCTATTCAGCCATAAGTGATCTAGCGACACAAGCGTAATAGCCTTTACCATGTCGAAGTGCTCCAAATGATTTTCTAAGCGTAGCGCAAGGCTGAATGAATGGGACACTCAGTGAGGATCGAACTTGCTATCTAGTCATAATTGATCAAGCGAGACAAGCTTGCTAACCATTACACCACGTTGAAGTGTAGCATAGATATTGCACGATGCCGAATGTATGGGGTACTTAGTGATGATCGAACTCATTATTCAGTCATAATTTTTCTAGCAAGACAAGATTGCTGGCCATTACACCATGTCGGAGTGCTCTTCCGCAACACTTTCGTTTGTAACAAAAATTTTCTAGCTTTTTTTGCGCATAGGTGGCGTTTGAACACGTGCTTTCACTTCACAAGTGATTGAATTTTTAAACGAACATTCTGAAAGGTGATATTTTAATGCGTCTTTCTATACAATTCATCTGTGGATTCGAATTTTAAATGCTTTTTAATTTAAATGAAGTGTAATTTAAATGAAATGTATTTTCGTCATTTTATGTCTCTTATTTTTGAAAAGTAAAAAAGTATGTGTTGTTTATGGAGGTGCTTCCGATGTTCGTTAGGTTCAGAGATGGTAACTTTGCATATCCAAGTCACACAACATTGGACATTGCAGAGTTACAGGTGGTGAGACATGTGCTTTGCATGTCAACAGAATACCAAAAAAATGTTATCATAAATTGAAAAACATGTCCCAATACGAAAACAAGGACTCAGTTTACTAAAATTCTTGCTTTGTAGCTGATGGTATATACAAGATAACGTCCATAGCGAGTTGCTGGAATATGGAAGTAATCTCACTGTAGGCCTTTATTGGCTGACTGATTAATTGGTTTCTTTGTTTAACGGTATATCAACTCCTTATGGGTCATTTAATACCGAAATTTAATTTTCTTGGGAGTTTTGAAGTAATAAAAATATGATATATGTTATTCTGCTTTCACAGTTGAATACATGGTAGATGATACTCAACTTTTGTGCGTGCATATATATGTTTGTATGAACATAATTACAAGAAGCTGTGATATGTGTTTTATGTTGTAGCGTTCTTGAAGTTATATTTTGGAATACAGTTTGATTTCAGAAATTGAAGTATATTATATGGTTTAATGTAATTAAAGTTCTTTTATGTTGGCTAGGCGATTTCGTTTCGTGTTATATCAACCTCTATTTAATGCGGAAATACAAATATTTTGAACACATTTTTATGGATCCAATCAAATATATTTTGAACGTAATTCATTGCCTTCAACTACAGATAAAATTTATTGTTGGTCATTTTGCTATATAATGTATTGTTGGTATTTCTACTATAAAATTTATTGCCGGTCATTTTGTATCAAAAATGTGTTTATATATTTCCATAGTGTTTTATTTTGTTTGGAGTGGGGGTTACTCTTTGCCCGTAGCTGGAATCCTACTACCAACTACGCGCCTCAAAACTTCCCGATCAGAGGCCTTGCTGCCGGATATAGTTTATCGTCATACCAAGGACTACCTTTATCGTCCACAACTTGGTCGGTATAAACGATGCATTACGTCAAAAGTGTTATGCTTTGGTAAGCAAAAAAAAAAAAAAGAAAAAAGAAAAGCTATTATTTACCAGTCTAACAATGTGTTATGAATAATCAGGAGTGGTCTCACCTTGTTTTGTTACTTCCCTCTTTGAGAGAACTATTTCTGTTTACTGGGACTATAAAAGGACACTATACGCGACCCTTGTATTCTCAGTTGAATACATCTTTCTTAAGGCCTACACGTACGTACTTTTGTGATTACACAATGCAAGGACACACTCTGCAGAGAAACCCAAGAAAAAATAAGATCGTTAGGATGGGAGGCCCTTTATATATTCAGCAGATTTAGCACCTGTAAAAAAATGTTCATTTGTTTCGATGAATATGTAGTGTTGCATCGAGGACCAGACACCAGGTTCGTTTACAGGGGCAGCTTCTTCCAGTCAAACGCTTGTGGATTAAAATTTACCCTTCGGCCAGATCGTTACCCAGGAATTAATAACGCCATGAGCCCGCTTTAGTAGTAAGCAGGTCTTTGTTGTAATTTACTGCTATAGCCGAGCGAGCCTCGAGATTAGGCATAATTGTAAGAGTAAGTGGATTGTCTAACGATGCGTCTTCTTTTCACCCCGTTTTCCGGCGACGCGCTTCAACATTCAGAAACAAAAAAAAAATTAATCAACCTTTGAAACTTTTCAGGGAAGAAAGCCCGGTTTCTTTATTAATGGAATCAGAAATTTGCCTTCACTTTGAAAATGAAGGTGTTTTTTTATATATCCTTTCTGATAATATGTCGTTACTTTCCGAACACTTTAATAGGAACGTTGTGGTAAATTGGGTGACAAATTAAATACGTCAAATATATTTCAAGGTTTTAAAATATTCGAAATAAATTAACTGCGAGGATTTGACATAAATGAAAGCGAAAATATTTTAAAGGTATATTTAAAATAACCAGTCTTATATAAAAAATGCTCAAATTTTAGTTTCTGTAAAATTTGTAGGCTCAAATATCAAGCTAATAAAAAACTGTCGGAGCTCATAAAAAATCTTTTTGAGACATTCCTGCCTTTTCTTCGGTGGTTGCTTACTGCTTTCAGTGCATGAACAAAATATTTGGTTAAAAATGAAAGACGAAATAAAGAAAACTTCCTTCTTTCTCAATTTATTTCAAGATTGAATTAAATTTATTGCGCAGAGGCAGCAATTTATTAGGGCCATTAGCAACGCAAAAAACAGTAACAACCAAAAACAAAACCAAAAAAAAAAACCCAAAAAACGTTAAAAGATTCAAACCATGAATTCTCAAAACAATCGTTAATTTTTCTTGAGCGATTCAGATTGATATTTGAAATATCGATCTTTTGATTGTTTAATTTTGAGGTCGATAAAATGCAGTTCGATTTTTAAATAGCATAACTTGTATGATTAACACTGGTTATTTTTTTTTAAAGATTTACTCTTCGGGAAAAGCTAAAGTTTATTAAGATCAACATATTTTAATGTTGTTTCTAAGATTAAAATGAAATTTTTGCTGATTTCGACGTAGAAGTTTCCAAAGACGCAAAAGTGTTTCACGAGATGAGCATCACCCTTTATTCTAGTATATATCTATCTATCAGTATAATTTATGCAATGTCCAGTAACTGGTGATTCCAGTTCATAAAAACGGAAGAATCTTCATTTCCTTCCTTGTCATCAACTAGTCTTCTGCGAAAGACAATTAATATGAAACAATGAACTTTTCCGTCAATGATGACAGGCGTCTGTTCTGGCAGGGAAAAGCATCTACATTTGTTGGAAAATCAATTGACAGCAGACGCTTAGTAACAAATTCCATTACATTGGAACAAACTTCTTCAGACAAATAGAGGATCCCCAGACGAGACTATGACGAAAGGGGAGAGTCTCGTCTCGGGTAACAGCTACCCGACTCTGTTTTATTCGGGATCTACGGGAAATGTTTGGCCGAGACTACGGACTCGTATACCCAGCATTAATTTCAACCTTGTGCCACATCTGACCGCGTAGGGTGGTTAGTATATATCCTGCATTTGGAGATTCGTCTCCGGCTGATCAAATTCTCTGCCTCCGGCCAGAGATGATTCCCAGACGAAGCTATGTCGAAGGTCAGAGTCTCGTCTCGGGAAATAGCTACTCGACCCTTTTTTTTATACAGGGTCTACGGGGAATTTTTGTCCGAGCCCGTAGGATCGAACGCGCCACATTAAATTCGGCCTTGCGCAACATCTAACCGCATCGGGTGGTTGGTAGATATCCTGCATTCGGAGATTAATTGTGGAATTCACTTGACTCACTTCTAGCTGTTGAATAGTTCTACGCGCCGCTGTCGAATCTTATATGTGTTGTTCTTGTCCTAAGTATTAAGTTCCTTACCAAACCTTCGTGTGATTATTCTATTCAGTAACCTTCCCCAGGTTACAACAATAAGACTGTAATCCGAGAATGAGAGATAAAATAAGTTTCAAATTTCGTTGTTTACACTAAGCTTTTAACGGAGGACGGCCGCTGCATATTCTTCTTGACAGTGTTTATGTTAGATTTTGTGTATGAAACAATAAGTTATCTTGGTTCATTCGCCTTCCCCGTCTTTTAAATTGGAGTTTATCACTTGTTTCCTGTTTAGAATTAGATTCCTGGTTCCTTCTAAAGTTTTCTCATTCACTTTCACTCCTTGTATCTTAGTGGCATTATCACCTTTCTTGGGGTGAATGATTAAAAAAAAAAGTTCAGAAAAAAATTATCATAAATAAGAAAAACAAAAAATAACAGTCACGCAGGTTGTTGCTGGAAATATATCCTATTTCTGATATGTATTATATTTGATAGGGTCAGTTGGCAAAACAAGGAAAGAAAAGTAAGATATGATGATAACTTTATGATAAACTGACGAAATTGCAAATTTCTTTTCCTTTTCTCTTTCCTTTTATCCTTCTGTCTCTCTTTTTTCTTGTTTGTTTCTTTCGCTTTTCTCTTTCCTTCTTTCCCTATGTTTCTCTGTTACTTTTTATTTCTTTCTTTCTTTCTTTCTTTCTTTCTTTCTTTCTTTTCGCTTTTCCTTATGTCTATGTTCTTTCTTTTTTCTTTCTTTCTTTCGTTATTTCTTTCTTTCTCTTTTTTTGGTTTTTGTTTCTTTCGCTTTCCTCTTTCCTTCTTTCCTTATGTGTCTTTTTCTTCTTTCTTTCTTTCTTTCTTTCTTTCTTTCTTTCTTTCTTTCTTTCCGCTTTTCCTTATGTCTATGTTTTTTCTTTCATTCTTTCTTTCTTTTTTTTCTTTCTTTCTTTCTTTCTTTCTTTCTTTCTTTCTTTCTATCTATCACTTTTTTGGTTTTTGTTTCTTTCGCTTTCCTCTTTTCTTCTTTCCTTATGTCTCTTTTTTTCTTCTTTCTTTCTTTCTTTCTTTCTTTCTTTCTTTCTTTCTTTCTTTCTCCTTGTGTATATCTTCCTTTCTTTCGATTTTCTCTTTCCTTGTCTTTTTCTCTTTCTTTCTTTCTTTTTAGTCTATGCATCCAACTGTTTTTTCTTCTTAGTCTCTGTTTCCACGAATTTATTTCCCACTTTTTTCTTTCTTCATCCTGTTAAATCCTTTACTTCTCATATTTTTTGATTACCATCAATTTCTCTACTCAAATCATCGCATCACTAAAATCGAAATTTAAAAAGAAAAAGATGTATGAAAAAAATTAATAAAATAGCAAGAACGGAGTAAACAAAAAGGCAGCACAAGAAACTAAAAAAAAACTTCCCACTTTTAATTTTAACCTTATTTCCTCCGCTTAATTTACTGAAAACCCTCACACATTCGCCAGTGATAATAGCTGCAAGGATTGGCAATGTATTATTGATTTTGATCATCGGCCTTACGTGACCCTAATCAAACGACAAAGAAGAAAACGACAAGCAAGTGATTTTAGCCGATGCAACTAAAGCATACACTATATTCATAATTAATACTTCAATTACAACAATTATTTTAGACTTCAATTATCGAGTGTTTCCGAATATCTTGGACATAACTAAGTGCTATGTTTATCATTATTTTCCCGATTTATTTATAAATCTTTAGGGGACACTTATGCCGCATTATCCGTCGAGAAATGCTTATTGTTTCTTTTTATTTCCTTACAAAAGAAATATATTAACAAGTGGCACGAATAGGTATACAGAGAATATTCTTTTTAAATTTACTTTTAGTACTAAAAAAAACTAGGATTCTTACCCATTATCTTTCACATTAAAGTGAATATATATATATATATATATATATATATATATGTATGTATGTATGTATGTATGCAGGTAGTAATCCGTTGGTATATTCCAAGGAGTTCTATTAAGAATACTATATATAAATTAATATGCAATTGGTAACTAAAGATCCACCATATAAGATGTTACGAACACTATATATATATATATATATATATATATATATATATATGTATGTATGTATGTATGTATGTATGTATGTATGTAGGTAGTAATCCGTTGGTATATTCCAAGTGAGTTCTATTAATAATACTATATATATATATATATATATATATATATAGTGTTCGTAACATCTTATATGGAGGATCTTAAGTTACCAGTTGCATATTAATTTACCAAATTATTCTATATATTTTAATTATTTACTAATTTCTTACAGATGCCATTTATTTATCAACTACCAAAAACCTTTTATGTATGAAATTCAGACAGCATATAACTTGTTTAGCATTGTGTTAAATTACCTCTCTACCTCACTTTATTTCTTTCTCTTTTGTTTATTTATGTAACCATATGTATTCGCTTTAAGTTTATGGTTGGCTGTCGTTAGCTGCCAATCTACGGGTCATACACCATTTATAAAAAAAGAATTTTTAATTTTTGCTTCTTCGTTTAATTTAAATTTAACGTAGGTCATATTTGATTGGTACATCAGAGTAAAGCCCATTAACCTTACAACCCCACTTTTTTCTTTTTTCGTAAAATGAGGTTGTATTTTGCTTTTAAATTTAAATAAATCGTTCACGCGCCAATAATTTACAATCGCCTGATGAGATGCATTGGTATGAATTGAAACACGACTGCAGTTGTGTAAATAATTTTACTTTCGTTCGATGTAATATCTGTTGTGGTAGGATCCACCTAATTTGCATAGGGAGTACCGACCATATAGATATGGTTGGTACCGGGAAGACGAGGGGAGGAATCAAGAGATTCAATCCAGAGACTCTGCCCGACTGCGACTAAGTCAACACATTCTCCAGGAACGGTCTTCCCAAGAATATGCAAAAGACTATATGTAAATATTGTGTACACTTTCTTGTTTCAATACATTTTGTTCTAAGTACATTTTGTGTTGTATTATTATTCCATGCATTAGTCAAGTTTCAACAATGGCGACGAGGTATAAAGAACTTTACGAAAAAAAAAAAGAATTGATAATTGATAGCCTTCAACAATTGGGACAAGTTTGAAGAACCCAGGCTGAAGAAAAAAAATTATTAATTAAAAGTCCAACATCTAATGGAACGGCAAAGGATTCTGAAGTTCTGGATATTTAAAACTCGTTAAAGGACGACTATGCATAAAGGAACGTTCACTCAGAAAAATATGAAAGGTGGCGTAAACGAATAACGGTGAATTAAAATAAAATAAAAAAAAACTGGCCGACTACAAGAACATGCATGGAATTAAAAGGCGCACAAATACACCGTGTCGACTTTGAAAGGTAACGAACTTTAAAAAAAAAAAAAAAATTAATTTTTTTTAGTTGCTCAACAATATTTTATAAAGCAAGACATAAAATTAAAAAGTCGTAAGTTGTTTCGATTTTTTTGGTCAGCTTATATTATATTCGTGGATACACAATTTAAAAGTATATTCTTTGTTGCATGAACACTATCGGCTATAGATGGATGAATTATCCAAAGTCATATCTGAATTATTCAAAGCCCAGCAGTTGAGTCAGCAACGTCAAAGTGAACAGTTTGCCTTATTAATAAGGGAACAGCAAATAGCACAGCAAAAATATCAAGAAAAGCAAGAGGAAAGACAGCAAAAGCAAGAGGAAAGACAACAAAAATATCAAGAAAAGCAAGAGGAAAGACAGCAAAAATATCAAGAAAAGCAAGAGGAAAGACTGGAAAAACAGGAAGAAATGCAGATCAAGGTTTTAGAAATTCAAAAGTTAACACTGGAGAAATTAAACAACAATCAGGCAAATGAAGGAAACTCTTCATATTCTAATAACATCATATTTAATTCGCTGGAAACTTTCAACTATGTGCCAGACGAAGGAAAAACGTTTGAAGCGTACTTTAAACGATATGAAGATATTTTCTATACAGACTGAAAACTGGTCGAATTCAAGAAAAGTCAGTCTATTACTAAGAAAGCTAGGTACAGCGGAACATAGCAAATTTGTAGATTTTATTCTACCGAGAAGAACAAATGAATTGGAATTCTCGGAAACAGTGAAATTGCTAAAGGAGTTGTTTGGAGCAAATATGTCGCTTTGGCATAAGCGATGGTTATGCATGAATGTCGCTAAATCCGACGATCAGGATTACTTAACATATGCATCTATAGTGAATAGACATCGTGACAATTTCAGATTGGCAGAGATTACGGTTGAAGAATTCAAGTGTTTAATTTTTGCTCAAGGACTGGTATCCAGTAAGAGTGCCGAAATAAGACGTAGAGTTTTGTCTAAATTCGAATCTGAACAAAACCTTACCCTGCAAAAGTTAGCAGAGGAGTGTCAGCGGGCCGTAAGTTTAAAGAAAGAGTCTCAAAAAATCGAAAAAAGCTGGCATTGCTTATATTAAAAAAAAAAAAAAACAGTCAAATTACCCATCAGAAAAAATTGGAGTAAAAAATTCGGCGTATTTTAAAAATAGACAAGAAAAAATTAAATGAAAAGAACGAGGAGAAAAAAAGGTTCCACCATATAATTATAGACGGTGCAACGAAAGACACTGGGAGGTAAATTGCCCATATAGAAATAAAAAATGTTTCGTGTGCCACAAGAATGGTCACAAAGGGTCGTGTTGTAAAACGAAAAAGTCAATAGCCGAATTAGACAAACAAATTCAAATATCAAATCAGACAGAGATTTGAGGAAGTATGTGACGACTGAAATATTTAAAAAGAATATCAAATTTCAACTCGATTCGGGTTCAGATTTAATAATGAACGATAAAACATGGAAAATTTTAAAAAGGCCTACAATAATGCAGTCAACGAAACGCACTCGAACAGTAACTGGAAAGGAAATTAACTTCGAAGGCGAGGTTGTACTTCCCATGAAATTGAACGGGATAGTTAAAAAAATAAAAGTTTTCATTCTGAAAAATGGAGAAAACTTGATGGGTACAGATTTTATTGAAACATTCGAATTGTGGGATAAACCGTTAAACTCATTCTGCAGAAAAGTAGAAAGTAATAAGCAAACAAGACAGGTCATTAAAGAGGAATTAAAGAAAAAGTTTCCGGAAACCTTCACACCTGGTCTTGGAAGATGTAACAAGTTTGAAGCCAAATTTGAATTAAAGGAAAATACTATGCCAATTTTTAAAAAGAAACGTAACGTGCCTTTCGCAAGTGTAGAGAAAATTAACGAAGAACTTGATAGGTTGGAAAAAAATGGGAATTATTTCGAAAGTAGAATCTAATTCATGGGCTGCGCCGATTGTGTCCATATAAAAGAAATCAAACCAAGTCAGAGTCTGCGTCGATTTTTCGACAGGGTTGAACTCGGTAATTAAGGACTACCATTACCCGTTACCGAGTCCGGAGGAGATTTTTAACAAGCTAAATGGTGGAGTTATGTTTTCAAAAATCGACTAATAGATGCCTATCTCCAAATTCCCGTCGAAGAGGAATGTTCGAAGTTACTAGGGATAAACACGCATAGAGGGTTATTCAAGTACAACAGGCTTCCTTTTGGTATTAAAGTGGCACCAGCCATTTTTCAACAAGCTATGGACATCATGTTGAATGATTTAGACTTTGCGTGCGCTTACTTAGACGACATCATAGTAAGGAGAGAAACCGTCGACGAACATCGAGAGCATCTCAATCAAGTATTTAAAAAGATTCAGGACTTTGTATTTAAAGTCAAAGAGTCAAAGTGCGAATTTGGTTTGGAGGAAATTAATTATTTAGGTCACATAATCAACAAAAATGGCAGATGTCCAGATCCGGAAAGGTCCATTGCGATTAGAGACATGCCGACGCCCACTAATGTGGCGATGCTACAGAGTTTTCTGGGGCTTGCAAATTATTATCAAGTGTTCATTAAAGGAATGTACAATTTAAGAGCTCCGTTGAATGAACTAAAAAAAGACAAGGCATTGGAATGGACGGCAGAATGTCAGAAAGCCTTTGATGAAATAAAGAAAATGCTTACGTCCGACCTCTTTTTAACCCATTACAATCCAAAACTGGATATTGTAGTGGCAAGTGACGCTAGTTCATACGGGATAGGAGCGTGTATTCAACACATAAT